GTGTTCAACTGAGCATCAGTATTCTTATACACCCACAAACCCAGTATGCTTTCACGTATTTTATCATTCCAAGTACCACTTTCCGAATCTCTCAATGGGATGTTCAGTTTTCCATGGAATGTAAAAAATGATATATCTGGACTATCAGGTATCCATACTACAAAGCCTTTTGGATCCAAACGTTGAAACGAAATTTGGTTTGTTTGATTTGATTTAGTTAAGACAATTATTGATGTAATGGTTACAAATAGGTACACAGATTTTAATTTAAAATGCATCTTCACTCGACAAAACTAGAAACTAATTTCTATATTCTAAAGTAAAATCTAGTGCATTTATATACTTTTTTAAACTGAAAATATGCAACAAAATTGATAAGAAATTTATTACAATTTTTCTCAGCTGAATCAGTTTATATGAGAACATAATTTTAAAATTTCGTAATCAGCGCTTTTAATAATAATAAGATTATTTTTAAATAATATTGTTAATATTAACATTTTAGTATATTATGATGACCCTTTTAATGAGAAACTTTGTTAATGTTAAAAATGTTATACCCTTCACACTATTTTGACAAGGCACGAGTTCAATACGAATTGAGACTTGCAGTCTCAAAAAATTATTTAGGAATGATAAAATACAAGAAATAATTCCAAAACCACTGATGACGGATTTTTGACAATACTCGTAATAGCTGTATAGTCAGCCAAAAATTCAATTAATTAAAATAATATAAAAATAAATTTTGTTGTTGTAGTTCACTACTATTCAAAACCTTTCTACCAAAACGATTAACCTAAGCGAAGTTTTAATGATGAGAAACTTATAATATACGAGATTAAAGCACCCAAATGAAGGTAATCAGTCTTAAAATACGATACTAAGCTTAATACATAGCCAAGTAAATCTTGAAATTGAACTTATAGACTAACCGTTAACGTCACACTCTATTGTAACTCTTGAGAAAAATGATTTATATCGCAGTAATGTGGACACATATGGAGTTGGTTGGTTGGTTGATTGGTTTAGCAGACCATTAGATGACTTCCGTGTACCTCTGAGGATCTAATTATATTATAGGTGGACCATGTTAACCTGGAAGTTGCACATGACTTAAGTGTTTTCCTTCTGTTATTGACAAGTTAAGGAAAGTAGAGATAAGTACTTCTCTTGATTGCCTCTAGGGTAATATAAACATGTACCGCCAGGGACACATCCAGAGTAGCACCAGAGCGGGCTAAACTGCCAGCTTTCTCGTTCCCTTCTAGTAGAATCAATATTAATAATATGATATGCAATGTTCAAAGAGAGTTAAATTCAATCATAAATCAAAAGAAAAAGAATAAATGAGAATATCTCTGTAGGGGAATTAAATCTTTGAGAAAGCCAAAGCTAAACATTGACTTGTTAGTCTTTGATTTAAAAAGTTGATGCAACAATTTCAGTGTATATGTTTTATGTTCATTAGAATATACAACAACAACTAAAGTATTGTTAAAAAAAAACAAACTGAGTTACATACAAATTTTGATTAAAATTTTTATTTATAGCTTAAAAATTTCACTGGAATGACATTAGTCATTTATAGGAATTATAGCAATATTACAGAAATCACAGCTATAATACGTGCGTAGCAATAATTTTGAAATTAGAAGTGACGTTGAAGTGTAAAAATTATTTATATAAGTGAATTCGAAAATACTACTATATATCAAAAAATCAAATATTATCTATAATATGTAAATTCTAACTAACACAAATTTATTATCAACTTTGGCCGTTCGAAAAGAAAAATTATTGCGTCGAAATAATTGTGTCTTTAACTATCAGACTATTAAATTCTTAATTAATGTTAGTTTGACTGATTGTTATAAATGTTTTTAAATTAAATACTAATTAGTTAAAGCAATTTACTTTTAATAACTTTTTTTTTAATAAATTGATCCAATTAAATAAAAGCAGAAGTACTCTGACAAAGTATTCAAACTTTTAGTTGACAGGAATAAATTTAAACTAATCTTTGTAAATTTAATATAAGTTCCCTTAAAATTAATACATATATAATAAATAAATAATTGTTTAAATATTTGTACTTAAACATATTTCCACATAGAATGAGATATAATATCAATTTATATGTATAATAAAATAGATAATATTAAATCATAAATAATATCTGTAACAATTAAATGTCATTCTATTTGACAAAAGTTCTTATTGACCAAGTTTTTCTTATTACACAACGGCCTTTAAGCTTTTTACCTTACCGCCGGGATTAAATATTGACAAGTAAATATTTTTTAACGCTTCAACGAAAAACAAATAAAATGAAAGCAAAAATATCTTAAAGTCCAAAATTTATTTTTTTTTAATTAATATAAAAATAGATAGTAGTTACCAATAAAAAAAGTACAAAACGAGAAATTTATCATATATTAACGATAACAACTAAGACATCAATTACTCATACGCCCGGGTGTATGAGAAATATTAAATTAGTAGCTGAAAAGGAAATAATAAAAACCTAATGCTTTGGGTTGAAGTTCAATTTTAAGTAAATCAAATTATTTATTATAATTATTATGCATAATGTATTTTTATATTACTTCAAAAAAATGCATAATTTATAATAGTGAAATTAGTAATGTAAAACAATGAATTGACAAATTTTCTCAATCAATTTTTTTTCGCTATTTTGAAGGCATTTTACATATTAGACAAATTTAGTGATAATTTAGTCATTATTTTAGAAACGAATAAAAGACATTTGAGGCATATTTAATGCGCAATAATAGTTTTTGTGGGAAGTTGTGAAATATGAGATAATGGTAATAGTCCACCCATACCGAAAAATTAATTATCCCTTTTAACCAGTAATACGTAGAGAAGTTGTATAAATGAATGTTAAGGATGTAATTAGTATGCAATATAAAACCGTCCTATACAAACGTTTAGGTCTAACAAAATAGATTTCACTATGGAAGATAAGGAATTAAAAAACTTGCCAAACACGGCAATACTCGTAAATGGCACAAAATTAATCTCCTTTATAAACCTCAAGGATAACTTTATGACAAGTAGAGTTAAATTGACTGACAGAAAAGGCATTGAAAATTACATGACCCAGTTTTTCATCGATAAGCCACAGAAGTTCCACAATTATGAAACTACCCAACAAATAGCAAAAGGAAATAAATTAAAAAGACAAATGTATGGTAAACTATAATAAAGTTATTTTTTTCTTAATTTATTAATTTTAGTTTCTATTATAATAATTTTTAATAATAATTAATTTTTTTAATTTGTTATCTTAATATTCAATAAAGAGAATTTTTATTTCAAAATGTATCAAAAACCATAGAATAGTTTTAAGATCAACCAATATATAAAAGTTATATATCGAGATATATATAGGGATATAGTG